CTGAGATCAAGGTCCTAGCAGGGGAGGATCCAAAGCGTGAACATTGGTAAGCGAATACAAATGAAGCTGACCTAGCAGGGGAGGATCCAAAGAGAAGAAACTCTAAGGGTCCGCCTGCTAGGTAGCTGACTATATACTGCTTGTCCGTAGCTGCCGCTGTCGGGCACAGAAGGCTTGGGCGGTGTCGCAGGCGAGGTCCCAGGGCCACTGTCGGGAGGGCGTTGACAGATCGGTGATTGTGCGGGCGAGATGGAGGGCCGGACTGGAGTCGGAACCGGAGTCGGACCGGAATCGGGCGCGTCTCCGGGCCGAAAGGGAGGTTCCCCTGACAGTCTTCGCTATTACAACTGGTCAGAAATTAATTTCAAGTATGATGCAAGACTTGGATATAAGATGGTATAGACCTTCAAATGAACCTGTCCAGCACTTGAATCAGCCTCATAGCTATTCTGGATCTCTCACAGTACCATTATCAGTGTTATTTATCCCAATAATGATGAGTTTATCATAGCATGAGCTTTGCAAGTCTGGGAAATCTGAGTCTATTCACTAGTAGAAGTATGGTCCACCCTCCAGAATAGGGTGCTGTGAGTAATTCAAAAAGAATTACTCACCGCTGTTTCGAAACCGGTTTCGAAACAGGCCCGTTTCAAAACTGTTTCGAAACCAGGCGGCTTGATGGGGTAAGTCACCGCCGGCCGGTGACAGCCTGACAGGGCTGATGACAGAGGGGCCAGCCCAGTGAGCGAGCCGCACATAAATGCCGTCCAGCACATCAGAACACATGCTCATGGGCCGCACATGTGTCTGCGGCTACTGCTGCAGTTCCGGGAGCCCGATTCACGTGCCAGACACGTGTCCGGTGATAAGCCGCATTTTGGAACACACATAGAAAACCACCGTTTTTGTTCATTTCATGGGTACAGCGCACGTCTAAGAACTGGCATGAGTCCCGAATGGCCAGTTAGGGAGATATCTGCGAGGAGGCGTTTCGATTCGACCGTTGTTGATAGCAACTGGCCGTTCAGAACGACTCTTACAACAACCAAAAACAACAGCAGAGCCCAACCAACATAGAGGATCCATCCAATCCTTTATATATATACCAAAAGGGAGTGTAAACTAAAAGGCATATTCGGTCTGGCACGCGCTGGGGCTCGAACTCAGAACGCTCTGACGAAGGTTCAACCAGGCTTTGAACGGATCAGTCCCTGACAGTATTGGAACGCGGTTTCGGAACTTACGCAAGGACAAGGACATGTGGAGGTGCGGTTAAACGGGAAGCATGACTCAGTGGAAACGAGGGCTTGGCTGCAAATCGCGGCGACCTTAACCCGCAACCGTCCAACCGAACAACTCGACAATAGATTGCGATTATCTCATTAAGAGATTTGCCTAACGGTGTCTGGCGGTTAACCTCAAGTCATGGATATCGATGGAAAGCTAGGAAGTGGAGCAACACGACGATAACAACAACAGTTAGCGGACCGTTCACAAAAACGCATAGACGGTCGCAATAAAGGAGGATTTACAAAGGTCATTGACACCAAACACGCGCTACCGGTCATCTAGACCTGGATTTTCGACTCTGGGCCTTATGGCGAAACGATACCTTACAAATTATGCACATGGACCATCATTCTGTTGTGGCGATTTACCTGATCTTATCATTTTCTGTTTTAGTATTTATATCTCTGTCCTGTATTTGAGCGATTCACGGATTGCCCCGCGTTACTAGGTGCATCTGGGGATCTAGCTTGTCAATATCATCCTGCTAGCTCTTTCATTCAAGTAAAAAGGCGTTGTGATCGAAGAGTTGAGGGTTCCGGTTGCCGTATAAAAAGAGTTCTGGTTGGCGTATACTTGGTTTCGGTTGGCGGTCGAGAGTTTAAGGCAGTTAGTTCCTGATCCAAACGAGTATAAACAGTTCTGGGCATCGTATTGGCGCTTTCCTATTGCTGGATTTCGTCGATAGTACGCTTAAGGACGACCACAAAACAAATCTTTAACAAGATTTCATTCGATCTACCCTACAACCTTGCACACCCGTGTACAGGCTCTGTTCCCAGGGTTCTGCACTCGTATTAGGAGACGGTTATTGGTGGTTGTTGGACGTTTGGAACGGTGTTATACGGTTATCGCTCAGGCAGAACGACTATTTGTTGTTTTGTTGTTGGGTTTTAGTTGTGTAGTATCGGTCTCATCTCCGGTCTCCCCACCCGTCATCCACCCTCATCACCGGGCATCCCGGATATGTCACGTGCCTGTTTCGAAACCGCGGTCGGGCCGCAGACATTTCAAAACTCACATTTCGAAACGGGTTTCGAAACAGGTTCAACTCACAGCACCCTACTCTAGAAACTGGTGCCTGTACCCCTCTAGCATATCTCTATCCTGGGTTATATAGCACCTAAGGTCTCTATTAATTGACTGGCCCCAGCATTTGCCCCATGGTGGAAAATGAGTAAGGGTGTGCTAGGCTATCCTATGATATCATATCAACTTAGATCATGAGATTCCATGCATGTAGTCTTAGGATATCACCAAAATACTGCTCAATTTAGTATTCAGGCATGCTTGGCAGTAAATAGATCAGGGCAATGGTAACAAAAAAAATAACTGATGTGGCTCAAGGATAGTAGGATAGTATACCTTTCAAATGAACTCTATTTCAACTGTATCCACCAAGGCTAGCTGGAGATCTGTGCCCATCTTTCAGAGGTGATGGAGATCAAATTCTACTGATGAGTGAATGTATTGTATTATCAGTGCCATAGTCACTGAGAGTGAGGAGGGTATACACCAGGGGTTTTTGTTAGAGTAGCTAAACTTACAAGTCTGTCACCTTATATTGTTAAAGTACTAGATATTCTCTTTTTTATTACCGAATGATCAATATAGTAATCATATCATATGATGATGATCAAAATACTTCATAATCAATACTTGCCTTTGATACCCTTCCTGCTAGCACTTGATTCATGTATTTAGGTCGAGCAGCTATTGAGATAGAAGCCCATCAGTTAAAATGGGTCAGTGCTAACACATTTATTGAGCCACCACTATAGGTTACTTAATAAAAGGTGTTTATATAGTTACAATACACAACTTTGATTTTGTGACAAAGTGTGACACTCTCTTATGATTCCACTGTTAGACTGTGAAAATTTCCTTTTTGGGAACTGTGTCATCCTTGTAACCTAACAGTATATATGGAGCTGATGTGGGCTGCACAGGTGTCTGAATTTCACTTACTATTAGGACCTGGTATACAATTTCCTTTTTGAGTAGTTCATGATTACACAGAACTGACTCCTATACTTGGGTATATAATCACTATTGAACATTATTCATACTATGAGTGAGGTGATAATAGCCAGTCATGTGGACTTGGTGCGAAAAATGGTGAAAACCTAAGAACTGCTCAGATTTATTCAGTTCCCTTTCCAAGGTTTATTCAGTTCTATGGCAATGCTGAGAGCAGCATGGCTTATCTGCAACACCCCGCTGGGGTGGACTAGATAGTACACAGTGGGTATTGGGCTACACAGGTGAGTATTTCAATCTTTGAATGACTCGGTTTACGTTCTGCATGTGTTCCCAGAAGAATCTCCTGATTCCCTTGTTCTCTGGAATCATTTCCGCCACTCCATTCTCATCTTCATATCGTATTGCAGGTCCACGAATAGGTACGTCGTCGATGTATGGTATCGAAACGTGCGGTACTTCTTCCCTCAGAACGTAATTCACATCGTTATGAAAGATTGGAACCGAAGTTCGTCCATCCCTGAGGCAATTTTACCAGTCTCAACGCACCGAAAGGCGATTGGAATGTAGTATAATCCCTCGAGGTCTCCACTAAGTCCCTATGATCGTACCCAGAATAGAGATCCAACACTCCTACACAGGCTCTTCCCGAGAAATGGTCCGCAAGTTCCTCCGTTGCTGGGGGTATACCCGAATGTGTGATCGTTACCGCATTTAACGGTTCCAAAGCGTGTACCAATCGAATACTTTTCCCATCTTTCTTGAGGACTCCAAAGAATTTGGAGCGATAGGACGTGTTCGACGGTTCGTACACACCCGCATCCAGTTTCTTCTTGATCATTTTACAGAACTCTTCCAGTTGTCCCCTTGGGATCGGGATGCTCTTCTCAATCCACACCTTATGCTCCACAGTCGGTATCTCAACAGGCGGGAAGAAATCATGTCTCAAGGTTCCTCGTTCCTCATCGTTCCAGGCGAACACAGGCCATTGAAGCATCATGAAGTTATGAATAACTTTCAACTCCTCGTCCCACAAGAATCCAGTATTATGAACCTTATCAATGAATTCCATCCTCTCTTGCGTGTACCGTCCCGTAGGAACGAAATCCACCGGTTTAGTTGTTAACGAGGGCATTTCCGCGAGTGGGTTCCCGATTATCTCACGCTTGATACGATAACGCTCTGGCAATTCGCCATAAACCGGCCTGGTTTTCAGAGCTACTGGTTTATACTTCTTGCCTGCGAATGTCTCAACGATTTCGACTCCTGGTTGCACTGCAGTCCCATTCTTTTCCCTGTCGAAGGCCAAATCCGCACATCTAAGACACGGTATCAACGGATCGTGTCTATGGACATGTCCCAGATAAGATGCTTCTAATTCCGCTCTACATTCTTCATCTTGACCCTCGTTTTCCCTATACTCCTCCACCCGTAGCTGTAGTATTTGCCCTAGCTGCAAAGCTACAGCTAGCCAGGAGCTTTCCTGAATTGCTAGCTACAGCCTCCCCTAGCTACACCCTCACTGCTTGGATAGCAAGCTACGGAAGAACATCAAGCCATCATCAACCATCATATATCATCACACGGCCATCATGAACATCACTCGAAATCACTCAATCACTCGGACATAGAGCTCAGTCACACAGTCCATAAGAATATCGGCATCTAATCCCTCGGATTCTTCCAGTCATAATATATATACAGATACTAAAATAGGAAGGCTAGCTAGGTAGCTACTCCAAGCCTAGCTGCAGGTCGTCACTTGATCCCCCGTCTAGCACCAATCTATGTATCCTCTCGTCCAGACTGAGCACAGGGCGAAGTGCAGCTCTGCAAACAATGTGCCAACGTTCGTAGAAACCTTCTGCAATTTGGCGATGCAGCACAGCCTGGAGCTTGGCGTAGGCTTCCAGGCCCGCGGCCAGTCGCGGCTCCACGTCGGTGCGGGACGATGCGCGGCTCATCCAACGCGCCTCTATTGCAACCAGGCTCCGAAGTACACGTGTTCTCTCCTCACGCAATAGGCGAACCTCTTCTATCCAGCGGTCGCGCCGGGCAAGCGCTTTGGACCATTGAACGCGAACCGCTAAAAAAAATTGGAGGCGGGCACAACCAGAAGTCACACCGGCGTACCTTCATGTAGCCCCTTCTCGTCATCCTCAGGTCGAACAGTATTCCAGATCCAGGACACGCCCGCCGAGCGTTCCTCCGCCGCCAATGACGAAGGCTCATTCCTGCCTCTTCGTGATGCACCCAGCCGACCCAGCCTGATACGAGCCCTTGCGTCGCTCTCTGTTTCGGTTCGCACGTGCAGATCGCTCTTGGTGAGTTGCTTCAGGTGAGGGGCAGCGCTTGGGCCTTTGAGACGATGGAGGGCTGCCCGCGCTTCCGTATATTTCGCTACCTCCCGGTCGATTCGATCTCCAACACGGTCGATGAGTGTGCTGGAGCGCGTACTCGCAACTTGCCCCACCGAAGTTGCGTTGCGTGTGTGAATTAAGTGAGTTTTGGTATAAAGATGGCCGCGAATCTTCACCAGAGCATCCCCGCACTGGGCTTCTCGCAGCTTGGCCTCAACCTCGGCCAGGCCACGTTTGCAGGCCCAGACTCGCTGTACCTCCGTCAGGTCCGAGGGAAGCCACAATTTCGTATCTTCAGCTTTTGAAGGGGGTAGCTCTGAGTCTCGTCGCTCCTCCTCCGCCGCTCTTAGACTCGATACCCCAGGCATGTAGACCTCTTGTTCTTGTTGAACGTTTTTGAGCTTTTTGAAAAATGTTGCACGTAATTCATCGATTTGGCTGGCACGGTCCGCCGTCAATGCCGATTTACCACGCACTTCGTGTCTAATGCGTCGTCTAAGAAAGAGCTCAGTCGGGCTAGAAACACGAGATTCGCAAGCTTACTTCTGGTCTTCAAGCTGCAGAAGCCCTTTGATGAAGGCCGTTGCTGTCATTCGGCCTTCGTAAACACCCTCCCTGCCTTGACGCAAGTCTTCGAGCTCAGCCTTCTTGAGATCGGCAGCGACTTGAGCCTCAGACGGACCAGCTGTCATACATTGAGCCTAAAGTTGGCTGAAACATAGAGCATACCATCCTTTCCCCCTTGCATTACGTAGGGGTTTGGATAGCTGTTGTCGGCGACCCAGTTGGTGACCATACTCGCCACTGACGCCGCAAGTCGGGTTCCAGGCCGCGGTCGATATCGACAAACTCTGCGATCTGTGTGTCGCTCCTGCGACGGCGATGATCAGTTTTCGACCGAGAGCATCACCTGCCGAGCGTGTCAGTGGCAAGTAAAAGTGCAAATGCTAATTGATACCTTGGCCCACGTTCTTCTCAAAGTTGATGTGGTCCACTTTATCTTCAATCGAATCGTGACGATTGCCCTCCCCCATCTCCTTCGTTGCAAAACTGATGGGATTTAGGATTGCCCACGTCCGCTCGATACCTTCGCCATCAGTGCGGCCAACCCCATGTGCATGGCTGAGGGACATCGCCGCCTGGCAGTTGACCTCGCGGCAGCGGCGTGCCAGACGGGCAACGCAAACTGCAGTGTGAAGTTGCTTAGGTCGGGTAGAAATCCAGCCGAGCAAGCCATGTCGGAGACCCGAAAGACCAAGCGCTGCTTCCACTGACATGCAATGTCATATGAGAGTACCAAACGCTTAACGCGGGTGTCCCCCAAAGCATGGAGCAGGATGTAATCCATATTTGCATATCTGCTGCACGCGTCAGCGGCCATTAAAGGGCAAATAATTAACAAACCGTTCTCCTTTCTGCAAATCGCCTAGACCTTGAGCCCGAACAACGCCATGCCTCGCACAAACACAGCCTCCTACCCCAGACACTCGCAGGCCTGTAGTAAGGCGGGTGTCCTTCTGCATCAACGCGGCAAACGCGATACAAGTGCTAACCTGCGTGAACGGTAAGCATGACAGATAGTAGACGCGCAAAAAGCGGGCTACGAACGTCGGCCTCTGCGACATAATCGCGCAGATGCTCCTTATACGCATCCGACTCCACAAAGTAGCCCCATCCAGGACCAAGTGATGGGTCGTGTTTTTCGTTGGTGCGTATTCGATTTTTGAGTCTGAAGTTGGCATCGAGCGCCAGCAAAAGAGAATACAGAAACCTGATTAGGGTTAGAAGGGGCGGTAGCGATGGGCAAAAAAGCATACTCGTCGTCTTTGCTGCAGGTCTCCCAGCCTTCAGGAAGATTAAAGCCGACAGAGGGGCAAGCCCAGCAAGGCACAGCAATACCCCCGGGCGGAACTTCATCCATCGTGCTCATATCGTGGGCCCCCCGCACGCTTGGCCCGCTTCAGAAAACTATATTGTCGGCTCATACGGCCAAAAGCCTTGTATCGGTCCTAGCGAGCCGTTAGTGCGATGAACAAGGTAAGCTCTCAGAACAAAAGACGAACCGGGGTAGTTCCTAACAAGGTAGGGTCGGTAAGCCGCTCCAGCTTGCCAACGTAGTCATGAGCGCTTATGTTCCCCACCACGTTCGATAGGCGGAAGTCTTCAAGGGCCTCGAACGTGGCGCAGGTGGCGGGATCGATGGTGGTTGCTGGATACCAGCCATTGTTCATCAACTGGGCAATGGGGTCTTGTCCAAGCGCCCGCTCGCAGCCGCAAAACCTGACGCGGCAGGTAAAAACGCCCCCTACGTCAAGAACCACCATGGTCTGCGGCTCGCTTGATGCTGGGCGTATACAGGGCTCGCCGCCATGACCCAGTTGGTAAACAAATTGCAGGCTGCTCGGCGAGAAATCTTTGGCGTGTTGCTGGTGCAAGGCAACGCGCGTCCAATACGACCCATTCCATTCCTAGTCAACGTTAGGAACTTTCTCCTTGCCGTTGGTCGTTGCCACGTACCTTGACACGATGCAACGGCTGTCGTCGATGGGATTCTTCCAAACAGCCCAAACACTGTAGATGTCGTCCACATGGGTCGCAGCGAAAGATTCGTGTCAAGTTTTCCACATACGGCGCGTGGCATAGGGCACACTGAGGTTGAGCGAGGTGGTTCCCTAGACCGTCCTGCCGGACAAGATGGTCCAGAAAGACGTGCTTGTCTTGCCGCCACAATTTCATGGGGTCATCCTTTAGAAGGATAAGTAGTTGTTCTAGCGCAGCCCAAAACATACCGAGCTCGTGTAGCGTTTGCGTTTGGTCACCTCACTGTCTTCAATGAAATACTCATAGACAGAGTGAGCGGTAAAAGTCGAAGCCAGGCTCGCATATTCGGTGTCGGTCGTATTCGCTGGGACCCAGTCGACATATGGGTCTTCACTCTCTTCACACGAGTCTAGTCTCGCTCGTTTTGTTGACGCGACGTTGGAGACCGAAGGGATGGCGCGGCCGTCGCTCCGATAATGAAATCCTTGGTCGGCGGAGGGGTTGGCGACGGAAGTTTCAAGGTGAAGGTGGACTTTGGTCTGGATGAGGCCATAACCCAGTTGAATGGGAAAACCCTACCTCAGAGCGAGCGGTCGTCTGGGTTCGTTGTCCAGCGGAGAGAAATGATGACAGCACGTGTGACAAGTGACAGGATGATGACATTCCCCTCATACACGACGTTTTACGACAAATTGCTTATCTACAATTTGCCCCTCACACGCAGCAAGTTCGTCTTCGAATGGTTTACACTCGCGAGATGAGCACGCATGACTGAGAGGAACCGGTCAGAAGAGCTCGCGCACCGGCATACTGTCGCGTCACTCACTCCAATCGCAGCCATAATCGTAGCTAATGTTGGGCGCTGCCACACCCAAACGATGGAGACCGATAAAATCGGAATTGCAGTAGTTCTCCCCACGAGCGAGATCAGCAATCGTTCGGTGTCTATTAGCAGAAGTAAGCAGATATACAAGGCATACTAACGCAACCTCACGGTTTCAGATTCTGAATCGGACTTGCGGTTGGTTCAACTGGCTTTCTTGAATCCATTGCAGATCGTAGGGAGGTTTGGGTCAAGTTGAGTGGTCGAAGACTGATTTATACGGACACTGTAAGTATTCTCATGGCACTCAGAAAGCATCATTTTTGACACTTCTTTAGTTAGCGACCTTGTGTTGACTTTCGCGAGATCAGTCTAAACTGCTCTGATTTGAGCATCATCGTCCATCCAGATTCCACACCCTCCCCGTCTGTCTGGCCGCAACAATTCAAATCCAACGTAAGACTGGAAAACGTCAGTAAGATACGGCGCCAAAGTATGACTACCTTCGTGGCTGTGAGGCTTCGTGAGAGGCGTTCACTGGCAGCTCGAACGACCGCGGCAAGTGCTGGGACCCCACAGTTTCGGGAGTACTTGGCTTTTGGTGGACGCCGGAAAATCTACAGGTCGGTTCAGAGGCACCGTAGGCATCAAACGGAGACGAAGACTCAGAACCTGTTTGTACTCATTCTCGGATAGCAGCGGTAAACTTGGAGCGTCGTCCCGCTTGTCGATAGAAACGCAAAAACGCGCCTTGGATTGAAATAGTATTAGTATGGAAACCGGCATTCTAAACATTTTCTGATACATACAAACAGATTGACGTTGTTCCTGCCAAGTGTGGCTAGGTGCAATGTTTTCGCTACCAATGTCCTCGTAGCGAGGTAGGCGATTAGCGAGGGTGAACTTCAAGAAATATTCAACCTTTGCATCTGAGGTGCCCGACACAAGACAGCGTACTCCTTCCCTTCATGTCCCTTCCCTTCCATCGACGCGGCCGCAGTCATAGCCCTCCGCCCTCCATGAATCCGAGTTGGACCCCAATCAATTCGAACGCAGCGGCCAGAGGCTTAGGAGACCCCATCGCACTGTCCAAGAAGCGCCGAGCGTCTGAGTCCTGGGAGGATGAAGTCGAGTTCGTCGAGACGAGTAAGCACTTGTGGAGTTCGTCCTTTCGCCTCGCTGATCCCCAACTCGCAGTCACCATCAAAACAAAAGAGAAACGGCCTCGTATGGACGCCCAGTACATGTACTGGCGGGAGCGAGGTGAATTTACTTCGCCCAAACGTCATGGTTGTTGCCCAACGCTAACCAATCAGCAGCCCTTCTGCGCGAAGAAACCGAAGCCCGAATCTTGAGCGAACGAGGCCAAAGTATGTGGCTTTCCTTCTCTGAGTCAAAAACCTCATACCGCCGCAGCTCGCCGCTTAAGAGAGACTGCAGACCGTCTCCAACACTTCACTCAAGGCGGGTCAGGCCAGGTAGCGGTTCCCAAGCAAACAAATCTCGACATTGAAGGCCAACGCGACTTCTCCAAAGGGTGCCCCACCCGTGACAGTTTATACTGGTCGACCGCCCGACCACCCGCGCTTCCAGACGTCCTCCCGATATACAAATGCGTGCTCTGCCAGGCAGTCAAGTCACGACCAGTCTGGTATGCGCTATCTCTTATAAGTCTCGACCCCGTCAAGACATTCCCAACAGGTTTCCCAATTGCAAGCACAGTGCTTGCTACGTTTGCATTTATATGCATCTGGTAACTAGTTGGGCATGCCCCGAAAAGGAAAGGAAAATGTATTCAGCACCCCGTCGTGATTACGCCCTGGAAGACGAGATCTCCTCCGTGTATCCCGACTGGGTTGACCTTAGCCTCTGCGGCGATGGTTTTTACGACTTTACCTTCCCCGCCGTCCTTTGCATATCGTAGCCAAAGAGTGACATCATTTGCGTAATGTCCACGTAATCACATCAATTTTTCCAATCTTTTTTCTTCTTGATTACTACGTCGCCCATCCCCCCGTCGATACGCGACGACTATGAGCTCCACAGAAGGTATGAGCCTCCCGCCTTTTGACATTCGCCACCTTTGCCTGCGGTGCGTGCCCACAAAGAGAGACCGACCCTGGACCTCGGCGTGTGGCACCCCCGTCGAGCAAGCGCCGCCTATCCTGCCACATACCACCTTAACTATCACTCAAACATTTCAGCCGTCCCCCCGCTCCCGGCGCGTCACACGCTCCGGCAAAGAATTCTCCGGCTTTGTTCCTCAGCAAGACGCGATCCACGCCCCCTTTTCTCTGCTTCACTCCCCCCCGCTGCGAACGCTACACGATGCCCCGAATGAGCCACACGAAAGCATTGTGGACCCTGATTCCATCGACGCTCCGACATTCAGCGACCTATTTGACGGGCCGCTGACGCCCATGCCAAGCCCCAGCGCTTCCCCGACGTTAACCCCAACCGTCCTTCCCGCGGTACCGCACGACCTCCCCGTCAGCAGTACCAACCGCAACACGCGCAAGTCCAATGTCCGGCGAGCGCGCCGACGGGAAGCCGTGCGCCAGGCGACTTCATTGCCGAGGCTCAAACGCGTCCAGGCCAAGCGAAGGGCGGAGGCAATACCTCAGTCGCTGCAAACATCCGCCAATGCAGAAGCTTTTCCTCACTCCCGCCCGGGTGGATCGGGCGATCGCCACGCCAAACTTGACCTCCAAGGCGGCCCAAGCAGCTCTCCCGATGGGCCGCTGCCTTCGCCTGTTACACAGGAGGTGGTGGATGCGGTGGTGGGCCAAAAAGGCTTTAGATTTGTTCCTTGGGATGGACGGTAAGTCCCGGGCCGCCCGCCGCCTTTAGCAAATCTACCCGAACTGACGTTCGCTCAGCCATGCCATCCCTATCCTTGACACGGAGCGTCGTGTCGTTGCGGTTCTTGGCGGAATTCCGCGGGCCACAGAGGACTGGGCCGACCTTACTCGTGATGCCTGCGCCTTGATGGATCAGAAGGTGCCGGGCCTGAAAGTACCCGCCGAGAAGCGCCGTCACCGTCGTGCACAGACTGAGTTTGTGGCCATAGCCAGAGGCGTTTCCCATGGCGGCGGCCAGACGGTGGCGCTTTTACAGATTAACATGCGCCCATTTACGGCCTCTCTAGGAGCCCGGAATTTTACATCAAAACCGCACGAATACTCAGACGACCAACGAGATTCTCCGACACCAATTTTTCTCCAGAGTTGCAGGGTTTACTACAAGTAGGCCAATCGTCATTGCAGGCCGCATTTTCTAACGATTGTCGCAGCATTGATGATGATGTGGGCACCCATGCTTTATAGCTACTACGCCAGCACACGCGCAGCCCTATTGGCGTGGAAGCCGTCCTTGTCTAAAGGCTGGCTTCACCCACACAGCCCCTTCGCTGCATGCACCTTGAACTTCAGTCGCGCTATAAGCCGTCGCCACCTTGATTACGGAAACCTAGCCTGGGGCTGGTGCGCCGTCACTGCAATGGGTAATTTTGATCCAGATAAAGGAGGCTACCTTATACTCTGGGAGCTGCGCCTTGTAATTCGCTTTCCTTCAGGGTCGACCGTCCTTATCCCTTCAGCCGCCGTCCACCACTCTAACACACCGATTGGAGAAGCAGAAACGCGACACTCCTTCATCCAGTACTCTGCCGGCGGCCTGTTTCGATGGGTGGATAATGGGTGCCGCACGAACGAGGCCTTCGAGGCCTTTGCTAGTACTGAAGAAAAAGCCACCCGGAAGACTGAGGGAGATGCCAGATGGCAAGAGGGTATAGGAATGCTATCTGTAGTAGATGATTTGTAGATATGTATTTAGCAAATCTTGCAAGGTTGACGAACGAATACGCCGTCTCTTACCTTATCGGGTATATGGTAGGATGTCGAGATCGGGTCACAATGAAACCTGGATTACTCTAGATCTCCCATCCGCAGCTACATTTCGTTTGCGTAGACTATCTACAGTGGAATGCCCGGAGACGCCTCCGTGGATGCCCTTCCAGTGCCTTTGGTCGGGTCACATTGATAATGAATTCCCCCTCGATCGCCTACCTGCATGCCTATTGTGTTTACTTATACCCACTGCTGTCCAATGCCCCAGGGTACCTGTGCTGCTTTTTGTGTTAGCACTCTCAAAGTTGGCCCTGTATATTTTGCGCAAGGGCACAACAAATTACAATATGTGACACTGTCATTCCGATTCATCTTCCTTTCGTCCATCATGACGCGCTCTTCCAGCCCTTGCAGCCGCAACAGTCGACCAGCCAGACGCAAAATGGTCAACTACAAATACGACCACAGTGAGCAGTAAGTCACAATCCAACCTTCTCTACTTGCAGAAGCCTCATTATGCACACGGCGCCTGTAGCGGCCATGCTATTCGTAGTGAACGTGTGCGCTCTCGACGCAAGATAGCCAAGACTCATATTTCCCGCATTCGCTTACCTTCCGCGGTTGAGCGTTGGGGCCAGTCTGTCGACTTACACCGAGACTACAACATTTTCAATGCCGCCCTTAATCTCGAAGAGGACTACGAGAAAATATCGAATGATCTCAGGCATTGGCTGGCGCCGCCGCCGTCGACGAGGAGGCCATTGCAGGCGCATGCGAGGCCGACGACAAAGATTACACAGACTGGCTGATCTGCCTTGTCGACGGTTGTCTATCTGCGGCGCGAGCAAGAGGCAGAGAAGCAGATGAATGACGAAATCCAACGCATTGGCCAAAAAAAAGCGGTTGATAGCATGCGCCTCGATCTCAGGCAACTCATTACTGGTGACTGGGCACGACTTCAAGAGCTTGAAGGCGCATACGCGCCTGGTACAAGGGAAGGTGCCGTCTACGAACGGCACAAAATATTCTGTGCGCGACGCATTTACAGAATGTACTTTCTCAAATTCATTTAATCTACTGGTTTCTCTATATTTCTCTTTGCTCTCGAACCTGAAAAAAGCTGCACTGGCAGAAATTTTAGCACCATCGCTTCCGAATGAGGGAGCCCGTGACCATCAAACCTTTGCCTTTCGCCTTCATCTATGCCAGCCGCAAGCCATCATGCGACATTCCTTACTCGCTTTTTCTCTGCACCACCCCTTCGCGACGACGTCATCCGTCTCCAAAGGCTTAAATCGGACCCCGAGCTTCCTCAAGGGGCAGTTAACTCCATCGTCGGGCGCTCTAAGCAATCGGCACTGGCGTGTCGCTCTAGTCGG